AACACTCCACCTTACCATCTGCCACTACCCCTGCACTACCATCCACTACCATCCACTACCACCACGTCACCTACAGCCTCACCTACTCCCAAATTCCCTCTCCTATATAATTTAGTTGTAATATACAAAATCTATAACAATCTTGTAATACTATCAATCAAATATCAAATCAAAATATAACATCAGTTTATCTTTTACAATGGCGTATCGCAGCAAGGTTGAAGAAGCTAATAATTTCTGCTTCACCGGCGGGCGCGCAGCCTCGCCTTGGCCGCGCCGCAGGACCTCTACACTTACCTTCACTCAGGTGCTCACAAATCCATAACTGAACTGAAACTCTTCTTCCTTCTCTTACTCTCTCTCGCTCTTCAGACCATGACTGTTCTGAAGTGGTTTCCAGAGAATTCAGAGTTGCTAGAGCGATCGGGGAAGGGAAGAAGGCCAACATCGTCTTCTAGTCCAACTCCACCTCCTCTCACTCCATCCACTGGTGTGCTCTCTCCTGTTCTGTCCATTCAAAGCTCAGAAGCGCCGGAAAACCCTACCGGAATACCACGCCACAACCGTTGTCGGCCAACTTAACCATCATAACTTAAACCATCATCATATCATCTTCTTCCTCTGATGTTGATGTTCTCAAGAATTGAGCAAAATAAACCATCACTCAGCAAGGCAAAACAGAGAACCTACTCTTATCTTCATGGAACACCTCTGTTTCCTTCTGGTCAAATGGGTTTTCCAACCCAACGGTTCTTCTCTTTAGCTGGGCAACGACCTTCTTCTTCTCACAGTTGGACCAACCTTTCTCTTTCCAAAGACAATCTCTCACCCTTCTCTCTCTACAACTCCTTCGGCTTGGACTCTCAGGAAAACACCAAGAGAGCTTGGCGAGCTCTCAAATCCAAACCGAACCTGGTGGAGGACAAGCGTTGCTCTCGCGGCTACCCAACGCCAGCCGACAATTCAACAGGTGGAGAAGGGCTCGCGTCATTTCCCTCTCCAAGGTATTAGGGACAATGCCAAAAACCGTGGGCCTCATATCACTCCTCGGTCCGCTGCTGCGATTGTGTTGAACATGCTTTCTTCTCTCACTAATCTCACCGAAGCAGTCTCAGATCTGCATATGATTGCTTCTGTGAGATGACAAATAAAAAAATAATAATAAATAAAAAAAAAAAATCAATTCACAAGACAAAGAAGAATCTCTCTCTTCTCTCTCTGCAACGCACATTGGTTTGCACTTTTCATCATTAATATCACAACTCTCTTCTACTTTCTCTTTCTTCTTGCTTTCTTCTTATCACTCACGAGACGCACTCGCATGAACCACCCACGTGACTTTCCCACTTTTCTTTTTCTTTTACAAAGGGCACACACACACACACACACACACCCACAAACCCACTTTATTTTATTATCTACTTCACACTACCCACATTTAAAAAAACAAAAAAAAAAAAAAAAAAAAAAAAACCACTTTTTCCCTACCCCTTATATATATACTATATATATTCTCTTTTTTTTATTTTCTTTTATTTTATTGTTTTTTTTATACAGAGGGGCACACGTCAAATCAACATACATTCAAAAAAAAAAAAAAAACAACAAACAAACAAGTTTACAAATTGCCCAACACTCATGATTTATTCTATCAGGGACTCACCCCGATCACCATTTTACACAAAAAAAAAAAAAAAAAAAAAAAATAAAAAAAACAAACAAACAAACAAAACAATTGTTTTCTTTTCTGCAGCCGGCACCAACCGACCCACTTCTTTCGCCTATTCCGCCGGCCTTTTCTTCTTGGCCTCCGTCCGGGCGGCCCCTTGCCGTGTTGCCTCCGTGTATTCCCCACACCACCAAGCAAGTTGCCTTCCTCCTGCTCTCCACTGCAACATTTGGCGGCCCTCCAAAATCGGAACATCAAGGTGGCCTTCCGCCAGCTCCTTGTTTTCTGCCCTTAGCACGCCTTATCTCTGCTCGGCGCATCCTTATACATGCGTTGGAGTAGGAGCCAGCTGGAGTTTAAATGCTGCACCTCATTTTGTTCCTACTCTGCCAAGCCGGTTCGACAAGTTTGTGGACTTGCCGTTCATGCTTTCCACGCATAACTTCAAAGTATACTGTTGGCCTCCAATTCTGACTGACGTGCCATTCTTTTGCTCCACCGACCGCATCGGAAAGTTCAACGGAGCAAACTCCGGGCGCTTGGTGAGTTTCCAGTGGCCACCGCACCAGTTCTCTCTCTCGTTGACTCGATTGAGGTCGGAAAGAGTGTGAGCAGTTCCAACGGGCAGACGAGGACGAGGCCATTTTCTGGGCAACAGAGTGTTACAGACTCTCTCTCGCAGCAAACGAAGAGTTTTCAGCACTCTTCTTCTCTCAGCACAACGAAGTTTTTTTCAGAGGTTTTCGCAGCTTTTCTCTGCCTCAGCCTCAGGCCTCGTTTTATAGCCGAGGCAGCCACGCGCATCGCGCGCCTCTTGACGCCCACAAATGGCGCACGCCTTTTCATGCGCACATCTTTGATAAAGTGGGCACGGCCCTTTTGAATGGCACGCCTTTGAACAATTGCCACACCTTGTTGAGGGTGTAACTTTCACCAAACGGGTCCACATACCCCATAAACTGTCCCGACATTTGATTTTTCGGTTAGCTTTTCCAACGCGTCCGACATGACCCTATAAACTTGTCCCGACATTTGATTCCGGTAGCTAAGTCCTTCTACAACGTTATGACACCACCATACAGTGTCCTTCTACACCGTTTATGAACACCACCATACAGTGTCCTCTACATCGTTATGACACCACCATCCAGTGTCCTCTTACACGTATGGCCACAACCCACCAGTGTCCTCTACCACGTTTATGGCACCACCTTCAGTGTCTCACAACGCTGCATGGACACGACCATTACAGAGTGTGTGTTATCGTTTTTTTATTTTATGTATTTTCTTGTTTTGTTCCTTCCAAACTCAAGTTGGTTAGTTTCTATCCTCCTTGAGTTTGCGGGCTGTTAGAATTTACCACCATCACTCCAACCTACCATTCTCCAACTACCACTCCACAACGCTCCCAGCTACCATTCCATACCACCATAACCATCCTACCTCACTACTCCAAATCCTCTCCTATATAATAGCTTGTATATACAAAATATATATAACAATCTTGTAATACATCATCAAATATCAATCAATAATATACATCAGTTTATTTTACATGATATGATACGATAGTCGACACAACGAATATGACAAAATCTAAAATTAAGATACGGATGTGGTTAGATTACGGCTAGGATACGTTTGTAAAAAAAAAATATTTAAAAAAAATTATTAGAGTCAATTACATATGAAATCAAGAATGTTGTGAAATCATACTTGTATTTATAATGCCAAAATACTATTTTTAAAAAGTCATTGTATTAGTTTTAAGTTGGCAGCTAGGTTACTTCTTTTTAAATTTTAGGGTAAATTACCAAATACACCCCATGAGATTTTCTTAAAAAATGGATTGCCCTGAATTTTGGAAAATTACAAATACTTATTCAGAATTTTTTTGTGTCTAACAGGAATTAACTTGAATAAATAAAATTCCTTTAACTATTCTCCTATACATAATATAATTACTTGAAATATATGTTTTCTACATCAATTTAAAATACTATTTAATTGACTTGATGATTTATTATAAAAGGGGCCATTTGTTATGAAATAGAAATTTTAAGGGATGGAATGTAATTTTTAAAACCAACAGGGGGGACAATTCATCTTTAAAGCAAATCTGAACATACATGAGTGTATTTTGTAAATTTTTAACCCTAATTTTTAATAAGTCTAACAAATAATTTTCATTTCAATATTCAAGTCTATATGTTTATATATATAATATACATAACGATTTATGTGTTTAAGTATACTTTTCTAATTTCTTAGCTTTTCTTATAATTATAAGGGTTATTGCATGATACAATTAAGAATAAGTCTATTTGACAAATTATATTACTTTAATCACTATGTCTTCTTATCAAAGAACTAAGCAAAGTATTAGAAAAAATATTCTTATATTTATCCTCACAATATATTTTATTATAGGCTATGCATAAGAATGTTACAATTCTAATTTCGAAAACGTAATACGTGACTTGGAGGTATCTGATACTTCAAAAATTAAATATTCGATTACTACAAAATTAATGAAAAATTAATCAAAGAAGTATTTTGATACTTTTAATAAGTATCGATACATATTATGTGAGTATCCAAGGGAGTATTGGTAATTCAATATTGGATACAATACGGATACGTTGCTTCATTTGAAGTATTCGTGCTTCATAGATTGTGATATAGACCTTAAAAATTGAACAGAAAATCAAAGGCAAGTTTGCTCACAACAACTAGAATCAATAATCCGGTTTGAAAACACAAGTAACAAGTAACACCCTAGTAACTGAGCACAACACCCAAGGTCTTTCTAAGGAACTCAAACCGAAGAAGATCAAGGGGTTTTGTAAAAATATCAGCTTTTTGATGCTCAGTGGGAACATGTTCAAGAACAACAAGGCCTTCTTCTACTAACTCTCAAATAAAATGATGATAGATGACAAATGTCAATGTGTTTGGTACGAGAGTGTTGGACTGGATTTTTTTGAAATGTTTATTGCACTTGTATTATCACAAAAAAGAGTGAGAGTGTTCTGTTCTATTCCACAATCATGAAGCATTTGCTTCATCCACAGCATTTGAGCACAACAACTCCCTGTAGCAATGTACTCAGCCTCAACAGTCGAAAGGGAGATAGCATTTTGTTTTTTACTGTGCTAAGAAACCAAATTATTACCAAGGTCCCCCCCCCCCCCCCCCCCTCTTCTATTCTACATGTCATGTCAATTACCCCGTGATAAAAAAAAAAAAAAAAAGCCCGTCATATTACTATATAGCTGTTTCTCATGTTTTTAGTTAGATGGTTCCCATTAAGAACATATTTTTCTTGCAGAGTGGGATTTGGGGGGTTTCCCTGCATGGTTACTTGCCATAGAACCAGCTCTTACATTAAGATCATCAGACCCTGCTTTCCTTGACTTGGTATGTTTTCCATTGGTGTGTGTGCATATATATATTGATAAGTAAATGTACTTTAGAAAAGTGCCATGGCCAAAACCTTGTGCACAAGGAGTAAGGAAAAAGGAAAAGTTAAGAACTCTATCCGAAAATCTCCAATATATATAGGGATGTACATGTCCCCCCAAAAAATCTACGAAAGAATACAATGATAAGGGAAAATCATTTCTGCACTGAAATACAAGAATGTTGATACCGTTCCTTTCAACGGATAGATTGAGCAACCTTTCTCTCAAATTATCTACAATAATCTCTCTCTCTCTCTATGCATACGAACCACATGAGGCATAAAAGGGCCACATCCCGAGCATTTTTATTACCACTACCCTGACATCGTTTATGCCAAAAAGCAAAAGGGTCCTTCACTGACCTAGGCATCACTCATGCTATACCAAGCACTGAGAACAAGAAGCCCCAAATCTCTGATATGTTTTCATAAGTTAGGAAAATCCTAGGGTTTGAAGGTTGTATAGAGGATTTTTTTAGTTCGCTATCTTGGTCACATCTAAATGATTGAGTAATAGTAGTGATTCTTTTTAAGAAAGCAGCCATTTGTTGGTGCGTGGGAGATGCTCAGGTAATCAACATTGGGAATTCTGGTTTGAGCATGAAGCAGCTACTTCGTGCATATGGTGTACAATTTTAGGTCTGTGTCTAGTTTATTCATCCTAGAACCCGTATAAGCAATTTGGCTCCACCAACACTAGGTAATGGTCTTCTAATCTTTCTAAAAGCATGCGAGTGCATTTTCTATGAGAGTAGGGGGATAAATTAATATTAGCCAAAAATTCTAATTGAATTGAGAGACAGTTCCCAGGTAAAAACTTTTAGTTAGATCACCACTCCCTTTTAATTTTTGTCACAGAAAGTATATGTATCAAATGAAAAGGGGAAAAAAATTTGTATGCTTCTGGTTTTTTCCTTGTAGTGATTGTTCATCTAAGTTATCTTACTTCAAATGTTGGATTTGCTTTTCTAATAGTATCACTTGTAGCTCGACCTGCAGTATTCTGTGATGGTTGTGTATAAACTTGCAAGTGCCTCATGCCTATTTTACTTGATATCAAAGCTGAGCATATCTTGTCTTTGACACTTCCCAAAAAAAAGTCTTCTCCTTGACATTTAAGTCATGTTTGTTTGTTCATGGTATGTGCGGGATTATAATAACAATCCTTGGGACCCACTCTTTTGTTGCGAAAAAGAGGGTGGAATAAGGCTAGCACAAAATCTAACAACAATAAATACATGGGGCCTGTTTTATTCCATCTCTTATCCTGTTCCAACCAAACATTAGAGAAGACTGGATTGAAGTAGAAAATAGTCCTGCGACTGGATGTCCCAAAACAAATTGTGCCTGGACATCCAATCCCCTCAACCAATCTTATATGCGAAACAAACTTGGCCATATTACTTATGACCTTTTTTCCTTTTGTTATTATATTAATGGTAATGTTGGACTTGACATATAATGAACTGTTACAGGTTGACAAGTGGTGGGGAATACTGCTTCCACTGATGGCCCCTCTTCTTTATGACAACGGAGGTCCCATTATAATGGTCCAGGTGGGTGTTTTGATCTTTTCTTCTTTGCATTTTCTTCATTGATACTCTAGTAATAAAAAAAACCAAGAAATAACAGTTTTCGCCTTTTTAACTTCAAAATATTACGCTTTCACCTAGGTAGATTGTTGTATCTCAAGAATCAGTTGATATATGGAACCTTCACAGTACCCATGATATTAAATTGGAGGAGTGGTCTGCTGTTGCTGGAGGTCTCAAATAAAGTACGAGGGTTTATGCCTTGCAAAGTGATAAATGAGTTTGCTTCATTGGATCACCGGGACTATGAGAGACCATTGACACTGTGTTTTGGGTATCTAATAAGCTTTTACAACGTTCTTTTGTGGGCTTAGCTGGAACCACAGAATTTAAAGGTTGCCTTTTATGTATCATTTTGCTTCTTGTAAAGAAAAAATTTTCTGACGCGTCAATGGAAAGATTTTGAAACAAGTACCTTGAGCTGTATAAACCACTGCATTGCTAACATACATGAGTGGTGGACCCATCAGGCTAATACTATGGTGACACATGAGATGTTAAACAATTTATTAACCATCCACCCTGCACCCACCCCCGAGTATTGGGTTCATCATTTTGATCAAATATGCTTCCTATTTGGTTAGACCTATAATTCATTTTAGTCATAAAGAAATGGAAGGACCAATTTTCATCATGAACAACAATGGTACAGGAAAAAAACAAAAACAAAAACAAAAACAAAAACAAAAACAATGTAGAAATGTAATGTATAAAGAGAAATGATTGTATTATTGATTGATCTAATGTTATATTTTTTACAATGATTCATGATTCCTATATATAGAAGAGGGTGAGTGTGTAGTAGGTAAGGAGTAGGTGAAGTGGAGGTGGTAGTGGTGTAGTGGGTTAGGTTTAGTGGAGTAGGTGAGGTGGTAGTGGTGTAGTGGGTTAGGTTTAGTGGAGTAGGTTTAAGTGGGTGAAGTAGGTGATAGGTTTTAACAAACAAAAACAAAAACAAAAACAAAAACAAAAACAAATAATAGCTGATTCTTCTTGTATTCTGCAGAAACCCAATAAAAAGGATATCATTGTATGGAAGAGTGGAAATTGAGATTATACGATTATGGCCTTCTTTCTTAGATGCTTCCTTCTCGAACGAATTTGATGTTCCTTTATTCCTTTAGAAAGAAATAAAGAATCCTTTGAACAACTTGTTAGAAAGATTTTGTACAATAAAATGGTTGCATTGGTAGCTGTCAGTAATGTCTGTAACTGTTGTATATGATCTCAGAAGTGCTCACTGTTATTAAAAAGGTAGATAAGGGGCCTTATGTTCTTCAAGGTATCTTTTGGTTCCAAATATAAATTTGCGAAATTAAATATGTTATTTTCAAAAGTTTTGCACTCCAACGGTTAAGCATAAATGATTCCAGAAAAAAGGTTATATTTTTATTTATCATTGAACTTCTTATTGTCTGCCCACTAAAGCCTTCAGGTTTCAACTTGGTGATATGCGTAAAAATTATTATGACAGATTGAAAATGAATATGGTTCCTATGGAGATGACAAAGTTTACCTTCATCATCTGGTCACAGTAGCTCGGGGGCATCTTGGGGATGACACAATTTTGTAAGTAGTTTTATGTCTTCAGACCTATGTTCATGATTATGTGTATAAAAGGGTCACTATAATATATTTGGAACCTCTTTTATTTGCAGATAGTGTGTCATGTCCTCCCTTTCGACATATAATTGCTGGAACATTCCTCATTTCATTTCTTTAAATTGTATTTTTAGCAAGTGTACTTGAGTTCTTAAAACATGCATTAGCAAATCATTCCTTTTGAGTTGATTAAACTATAAATAGTATTGAAGTCAACTTGTACACAGAAACGACCTGATGTGGGTGTGAGGGCTCTGAAAAATTCTCCACCTGTATGTATATTTTGAATTAAGCCCCACAAAAAGTTTAAAAGTTGATATTCTTTAAATTCTTACAATGAACCCATGAAATCTTATAGGAAAACCCTAACTTTGTCCCTGCTTTTATACAGTTGCAAATTTTTATGTGACCCATTTTGTGGGATTTGGATGATCTCAAGGACTATTGTGAAGTGTTTTATTGCGATGTGGCAAGTGATCAACTTCTTTTTAATTGTTTTTTTATTCTCTCTCTCTCTCTCTCTCACTCTTCTTCTTCTTCTTCTTCTTCTTCTTCTTCTTCTTCTTCTTCTTCAATTGTCTTTATATTTTTTTATTATTATTATTATTAGTATTATTATTTTCCTTATTTTTTCTTTCCACGGAGATCCAAAAAATCTTTCATCATTTGGTTGCAAGTTGTTGTTTATGATAACAGTAGACATGTCCATCTTCATTTTCCTCATGGTTTCTGTAGGCATGTGCGAAATATGTGGTTGAGTACTAGTGGATTTGTGCAGGTACCTTCCAATGTCTCCGTATGTTGTGTATGAAACTCTAATGTGTGTTATGCTCGTAGACAGGATATCGACTTTGTATTAATTTTCTTGGGCCAATTTTGAGCAAGTTGTTATACTTTCATTTCCTTCTCAACATCATGATCTTAGTGTGATGTCCCTTATCTTTTCTTTTGTTCCATTTTGGCTGTATGCACAAACACACCCATGAAATTGTGTACACCAGTGATGTTATGCAGATTATGCCTTTTTTAAAATTTTTGTGGTCCATGATCTATCATGCAAGGTATTTTACTTTCGCAGATTGATCAAAGTGGACTGTTAATATATTACTGTTTCTTCTTTGATCGTCAAAATCTTTCTTGACCAGATAGCTATGGTTTCCAGGTATACTACAGATGGAGGTTCAAGGGAAACTCTAGAGAAAGGAACCATTCATGGAGATGCTGTGTTTTCAGGTAAATTTATTTGCCTAGATGCTGACATGCATATCAATTTTCATGCTTTTTTTGAACTAATAAGTTATTGACCTTGATTGTTGATATGTAGCTGTTGACTTCACGACTGGTGATGAGCCATGGCCTATTTTTAAGTTGCAAAAGGAGTTCAATGCCCTGGGCAAATCACCACCTCTTTCTGCGTTAGTAGTTTATTTTGTTCTTTAATAGTTTAACATGTTGACAAGTGCAGTTTATGATGCTCATAATGTTTGTTATTTCAGGGAGTTTTATACTGGTTGGCTTACTCACTGGGGAGAGAATATTGCGAAAACAGATGCTGATTTTACAGCAGCTGCCCTGGAAAAGATTTTGTCAAAGAATGGGTCAGCTGTGCTTTATGTATGTTCTAAAGTGTCAACTTTTGCTCCTTGTGAGTGATTATCCACATGATACTGATTTTACGTATGCCCTTCAAATATCTAGATGGCGCATGGTGGAACAAACTTCGGATTTTATAGTGGTGCTAATACTGGTGCAAATGAGTCTGATTACAAGCCTGATCTTACTTCCTATGATTATGTGAGGAAGATTGACCTTGTTTGTTTTGACACTCCACTGAGGTCAACACTTATTTGGTTCATTATCGTTGTTAAGCTGATACCTTTCCTTTCAGGATGCACCTATTCAGGAAACTGGTGATGTGGACAATGCAAAGTTCAAAGGTATTCTTGAGTTTTCTTTTGCTCCTATATTTTGTGTTATATTGCATTAAATATTGTGTTTTAACATTGGTTCTTGGACAATGTCTTTTCATGTAGAAGGTATTAGATATACATATTTCCTCTAGTGTAGTGTGTAGCGAATATGCTATTGCCTGGACTTTTCAATTTCAGTAATTTACGTTTCTTGCAATCTATATATACTAAAGTAGTAATATATGATTGCCGCTAGCATAGTAAATATATTGTTGCACAGGCTTTTCATTTTTAATAGTTACTTTTTTTGCATCTATAAACTAAATATACTCACCCCTAGTGTAGTATATAAAAATATACTACGGCCAGATTTTTCTTTTATCTCACATTACATTCCTTAAATATGAATATCAGCACTCTATTACAGGGGGTTTGTGTTGTTATCACTACATAAAATATCATTTTGATAGGATTACCGATCAATACATTATCATCGTCAATCTGATATAATTTTTTGAAATAACTGATGTATATAGTGAGGTAATCTTGTTAACAACATGTGTAGTGACGTATATGGATAAATTTATATACTACGGATGTCAAGTGATAATTTTGGAATTCGCCAAAATCTTGTATAAATAGGAAACTTTGCCATTAGAAATAGACATGTAAATTATACACACTTAACTCTCTTGCTCTCTTCCTAGCTTCATAACTCTTGGACTCTCTTTTACCTCACTCACTCAAATATTAGTTGACATAAGTAATAGCGCCTTTCCAGTAGCTTTAGTTGTAATTAATACTAGAACTTGGTGAAGAGCTTGAACAACAAGAAGTCTATATCTATAGTGTTTGTAAGTACTTCTTCTCTATGTTCTATGTTTTAACAGATGATTAATATTTTAAGTTTGTAAACATTTGATCAGTTATTGACAATATAGTATTTGTAATTTCTACTCATTAATCTTTGTAATTATGTGTTTTCTTTTACAGTTGTTGTAAAACCTATATGCTTAGTGTATGTTAAAGCCCATGTTCCATTAGATCATTGACTGTTTTTCTGCACTTAGGCGTTTAAAGTCTTAAGTTCAAACAGGGAGTTTTTAGGCACCTGACATGTACACTAGGAAGGTCTTATCTTAGGTACCAACAACAATTTGTAATGGCACTTGGCACCTGACATGTACACTAGGAGGGTCTTATCTTAGGTACCAACAACAATTTGTAATGGCACTTAAAAGCAAAGACTTTATATGTGTAGGAAAATCAATTAACTGTATTGAAAATAAATATGATCATGACTTACATATAGCTAAAAACACTCTGTCCATAAATAGTGTGTGTTTTTGTTTGAATAATATTACTGATATAATGTGTTCATGGTTTTCAAGATTAGAAAAAAACCAAAAAACTAATCAAAATTATTTAGAAGCTAAAGTTGAGTCTATAGAATCTAAACTAGATAATATAGGTTCTATTGTAGAGTAAGAAGTATGGATACAGATACAAGATACGGATAAGGATACAATATGATATGTTAGAATTTACCACCATCAACTCCACCTACCATCTCCACTACCACCCACCACCTCCACTACCATCCACTACCACCACTCACCTACCTCACCTACTCCCAAATCCTCTCCTATATAATAGCTTGTAATATACAAAATATACACAACAATCTTGTAACACATCAATCAATAATATACATCAATTTATTTAACAAATTTGTTTTTGATCAATTTACACAGTTGAATTTGTCACATCACTCTGATTCTGATTTTGTGTTTTTTGTGAGAAAATCAGTTTCTCAGCGGTAATTTCACAAACACTGGCTCTTCACAGCCTATTTCTTCAACTTCGGTGCCAATGAGTAAATCGATTTCTTTCAATCAATGCTTGTTTTTTTTTTTTTTAACCATTTTGTGTTCAGTCATTAAATTGATGTTGTGCTTCAGGTTTTGCAACGTCTATGAAAGAAATAATAGAATAAGAAAAGCTAAAAAATCAAGCAACAATGATGGAGACCACTAATTTTGGAACTCTAAAAAGATCACTAATGACATGGCACTCAATAAAAATAAAATAAAATATAACACCAAGGCCAAAACATCAAATCATTCATGGTGGGATTCACTGCCACATCATTAGTAACAGCACTAATTAGTGCTCCCACTCATTTTCCAAAATCAAGAACAACTAAAACGACAACAAATAGTACTAGACTCCCTATTGAAACGACAGCAACAACTGATCATGGTGAATTTTAACTAGGCATCATCGTCAAATGCGGTAGGTTCAAATTTTATGCCAGATTTTTTGGATTACCTTTTCTTTTCTTTTCTCTTTTCATTTCTTAGCCACCAAATCGGTTTGGGTTTTTTCGTAATTTGCAAAGTTTTTAATGTTTGTAGACAATCAACGGTTTCAAGAGAGAAAACAGGAGATGCAATTAAATATTTCACTTTTAGATTTGTTTAGGAATTATCAGGTAATAAACCACATATTTTAGCAATCTAAGTGAGAGTGTATATTTTATTATGGTCCCATGTGATGCACATGGTCATGATTGCTTTATGTGTTTGGTTACGTTAGGTCGAAAAAATTATAAATTAGGCCGATTCAAATTAATCACATGGTTTGATAAGAGTTTTTTCAAGGTTCGGTTTTGATTTTTTAAATAGATGTGCCATACTCCATAATCGTGATTTTATAATTATGAATCTGGTTAAAACCGAACCGAACTATTTATGTTATATATATAATTTGTTATTGAATGTAAATATTAAAATATTTTATTCATATCAAATATATATTATAACTCTCTACTATTATAACTATATTTTTTAATAGTGATAGAACTAGTTTAAAAAATCATTTAAATAATTCTTAGGTTGTGAATAATATTTTATGATCATATTGTGAATAATGATAATATTTTTAAAATTCGCGGTTCTAAACAGAACCGAACTGTGAATTACTGGTTCAGTTTGGATTGGTTTCAAGATTTTTATGGATTGATTTGGTTCCAAATTTGATGGAACTGTGGATAATGAATTGGTCTTGGTTATATGTACGTAGACTTGTTTGTTTAGGAACATTATTTCTAGGAATGACAACGAGGTTACCTACTACACACTCACCCTCTTCTATATATAGGAATCATGAATCATTGTAATAAATATCAATATAAATCAATCAATAATACATACAATTTATTCTCTCTCTATTTCTCTTTATACATTAAAATTTACATATACATATTTCCTCTAGTGTAGTGTGTAGCGAATATGCTATTGCCTGGACTTTTCAATTACAGTAATTTACGTTTCTTGCAATCTATATATACTAAAGTAGTAATATATGATTGCTGCTAGCATAGTAAATATATTGTTGCACAGGCTTTTCATTTTTAATATTTACTTTTTTTGCATCTATAAACTAAATATACTCACCCCTAGTGTTGTATATAAAAAATATACTACGGCCAGATTTTTCTTTTATCTCACATTACATTCCTTAAATATGAATATCAGCACTCTATTACAGGGGGTTTGTGTTATTATCACTACATAAAATATCATTTTGATAGGATTACCGATCAATACATTATCATCGTCAATCTGAAATAATTTTTTGAAATAACTGATGTATATAGTGAGGTAATCTTGTTAACAACATGAGTAGTGATGTATATGGATAAATTTATATACTACGGTTGTCAAGTGATAATTTTGGAATTCGCCAAAATCTTGTATAAATAGGCAACTTTGCCATTAGTAATAGACATGTAAATTATACACACTTAACTCTCTTGCTCTCTTCCTAGCTTCATAACTCTTGGACTCTCTCTTACCTCACTCACTTAAATATTAGTTGACATTAGTAATAGCGCCTTTCCAGTAGCTTTAGTTGTAATTAATACTAGAACTTGGTGAAGAGCTTGAACAAGAAGAAGTCTATATCTATAGTGTTTGTAAGTACTTACTTCTCTATGTTCTATGTTTTAACAGATGATTAATATTTTAAGTTTGTAAACATTTGATCAGTTATTGACAATATAGTATTGGTAATTTCTACTCATTAATCTTTGTAATTATGTGTTTTCTTTTACAGTTGTTGTAAAACCTATATGCTTAGGCATCGTTTGGGAACAGGCTAATTTAGTAACTTTTGGGCTATTTGGCTAAAAAGGTAGGTAAAAAAAACTTGTATGTTTGGGATGATTTTTTGGCTAATTACGAAAAGATGTGCAAAAAGTAAAGAGAAAAGAGAATCTTTGACTTTTTGGTATGAGTTGTTGACTTTTTGGCTAATTTAATAACTTTTTGGCTAATTGGCTAAAAAAGTAAGTCCCCAAACGGGGCCTTAGTGTATGTTAAAGCCCATGTACCATTATATCATTGACTGTTTTTCTGTACTTAGGCGTTTAAAGTCTTAAGTTCAAACAGGGAGTTTTTAGGCACCTGACATGTACACTAGGAGGGTCTTATCTTAGGTACCAACAACAATTTGTAATGGCACTTAAAAGCAAAGATTTTATATGTGTAGGAAAATCAATTAACTGTATTGAAAATAAGTATGATCATGACTTACATATAGCTAAAAACACTCTGTCTATAAATAGTGTGTGTTTTTGTTTGAATAATATTGCTGATATAATGTGTTCATGGTTTTCAAGATTAGAAAAAAACCAAAAAACTAATCAAAATTATTTAGAAGTTAAAGTTGAGTCTATAGAATCTAAACTAGATAATATAGGTTCTATTGTAGAGTAAGAAGCATGGATACAAATATGAGATATGGATACGGATACAATACGATATGATACGATATGGATACAGCGATATGACAAAATCTAAAAAATAAGATACGGATATGGTTAGGATACGGCTAGGATACGTTTGTAAAAAAAAAATATTTAAAAAAAATTATTAGTAGTTAGTTACATATGAAATCAAGAATGTTGTGAAATCATATTGTAATTTTATAATGCAAAATACTAATTTTTAAAAGTCAGGTATTAGTTTAAGTTGGTAGCTAGTTTACTTCTTTTAATTTTTAGGGTAAATTACAAATACATCCCATGAGATTTACTTAAAAAATGGATTGCCCTGAATTTGGAAAATTACAAATCCTTATCAGAATTTTTTGTTTAACAGAATTAACTGAATAAATAAAATTCCTAACTATTCTCCTATACAGTAATATAATTACTCGAAATATATTTCTGACATCATTAAATACTATTAATTGACTTGATGATTTATTATAAAAGGGGCTATTTGTTATGAAATTAGAAATTTTAAGGGGTGGAATGTAATTTTAAAACCACAGGGGACAATTCATCTTTTAGGCAAATCTCAGAGTGTATTTGTAAATTTACCCTAATTTTTAATAAGTCTTACAAATATTTCATTTTAATATCAAGTCTAATATGTTTATATTATAATAATAGAACAACGATTTATGGGTTTAAGTATACTTTCTAATTCTTACTTTCTTTATAATTATAAGGGTTATGCATGATACAATAAGAATAAGTCTATTTGACAAATTATATCACTTTAATTCACTATGTTCTTCTTATCAAAGAACTAAGCAAAGTATTAGAAAAATATTCTTATATTTATCCTCACAATTATATTATATTATAATGTGTTAAAATTTACCTACACCTACCATCACCTACTACCACACCTACCACACCTACCTACACCTACCATCACCTACTACCACACCTACTACACCTACCACCAATTTACCCTCACCTACTACCCAAATCCTCTTCTATATAATAGGAATCCTTGTAATATCAAAAAAACAACAATCAATAACATCAATAATGCTATGCAAAAAATGTTACAATTCTAATTTTGTAAAGGTAATACGTGACTTGGAGGATCTGATACTTCAAAATTAAATATTCGATACTACAAAATTAATGAAAAATTAATAAAGAAGTATTTGATACTTTTAATAAGTATCTGATACATATATGTGAGTATCCAAGGAGTATTGGTATCCGATATGGATACAATACGGATACGTTGCTCGTTTAGAAGTATTCGTGCTTCATAGATTGTGGATATAGACCTTAAAAATGAAACAAGAAAAATCGAATGGCAAGTTTGCTCACAAAACTAGAATCAATATCCGTTGAAAACACTAGTGGAATGAATAGTCGAGGACATAACACCATCCCTAGACTATTTTATGGTGATGAAGATATTTTGGTACTAAAAATACAAACCAATACCTTTAACAAAACTGAATATGAAACTATCATTGAGATCTTAGACCACTGGAGACAGTTGTATAAAGATCCTGATTTAGGTATTGAGGAAAGAAATCAACTGTTGGATTAGTCTATTTGACAAATTATATCACTTTAATTCACTATGTTCTTCTTATCAAAGAACTAAGCAAAGTATTAGAAAAATATTCTTATATTTATCCTCACAATTATATTATATTATAATGCTATGCAAAAAATGTTACAATTCTAATTTTGTAAAGGTAATACGTGACTTGGAGGATCTGATACTTCAAAATTAAATATTCGATACTACAAAATTAATGAAAAATTAATAAAGAAGTATTTGATACTTTTAATAAGTATCTGATACATATATGTGAGTATCCAAGGAGTATTGGTATTCAATATGGATACAATACGGATACGTTGCTCGTTTAGAAGTATTCGTGCTTCATAGATTGTGGATATAGACCTTAAAAATGAAACAAGAAAAATCGAATGGCAAGTTTGCTCACAAAACTAGAATCAATATCCGTTGAAAACACTAGTGGAATGAATAGTCGAGGACATAACACCATCCCTAGACTATTTTATGGTGATGAAGATATTTTGGTACTAAAAATACAAACCAATACCTTTAACAAAACTGAATATGAAACTATCATTGAGATCTTAGACTACTGGAGACAGTTGTATAAAGATCCTGATTTAGGTATTGAGGAAAGAAATCAACTGTTGGATTAGATAAGAGAAACTTATCTTCAACATGAATCCCGTTTACAACACTTTAATTATTATATTGATGTGCTTACAGACGATGATAGTCAATCATCTTCATTTGAAGAAACTCTAGGCCAAGATGTTTCATCTGAAATTAAATAAGCCAAGAGAAAGGCAGAAGAGCCATTTGATCCAGAAATTGTTTGGTTCTTGCGGAGATACCGGCGAATTTGAATTTGCTCTACGAATGAAGTTAAAAATGACAATGGGTGTACTTCAAACCCAACACCAGAACCAATGATATCTAGAAAAGATAACCATTAGAAGTACCCTATAGCTCAACATGGTACTTAATTAGATTTGACAAATTTTTTCTTCAAGACGCCAACAGCTGTTGATGATTGTGCACTATCCCTGTCCACCATTATTACTAATTATAAGACTCAGTGGTCCAAGGAAAACTTCCTTGATTATATTCCAGCATCTCTACAAGAGACTTTCTGCAATGATTTAGACAAAGGGAAAAAAAAATCAAACATTGGAAGAAGCCATGAAACTGTTTTGTTATCAAATTTTCTCACATGTGATACAATATTAGCTGAATTTGCAAAGATCATAAAAGAAAATTTATGTGGTTTTGCTAGAGAGATACCATTTTGCAAGAAGATGTAAATTATATTTTGGCTAAACTCGAATTATGTAATATTTGTCTTTTTTAAAACTATGTACAAACCTTCAAAAAATATTACTATCTGATTGATTCACCAGGTAATCTACCTTGGTTAGATAGGTATTTTCATAAACTCCCTAATCTATGGGATGAATTACGTATCAAAGGTTATCCTGATTTTCTCAAAAAAAGTGGGGAAGGAAGACAATGATAATTTCGGTTTTCGCATCTATTATGTTTTAAGAGTGAAAGCTAGGTGGTGTTTGATAAGCTGAAAATTGAAAATTAAAGACTGAAAATTAAGTATTGAAAACTCAGCGTTATTAAAAGCGATAGGCGCACCAAGGCGCTTAGGTCTCTTGGGCCCTAGGCGCAAGAGACTAGCTATTTTTATGTTTGTGTGAGAAATTCAGTGTCATTCACTCGTATAATTGAATATTTAGGGAAAGGTCAAGTCTGTAAGCATTCCATATGGCTAGAGTCACTAAACTGTTTGCTGTTGATTCTAGAGGGTTTTTGTGCTTAAAAATAGGCAGAAGATGATGATCAATTCAGTATTTGCATAGTGTTTGGAAGAGAATATTGTAAAATAAGTGACAAGTTTGAGAGAGTAGCCTGGCTCTATACTGATTGCTTGTACACTGAGTTAGCTGGCATCTTTTTAGTGACCTACATGTTTTTATAAAATGACTGACCATGTATTCCGATTATATCATGTGGTTCTACAGGCTGCCTATTATGATATCTAATGTCAAGATGTTTGACAATGATGATAACACAGCCTTGTCCAAACTATTTGAGGTCGGTTACATGAATTGTAGTTTGCCATTCTCTCTTTCAAGGGTCATAAGTTCAGTTAAACCATACTTTACCATGTCTTTCCTACATATCTCAAACCATGTTAATTTTCATTACTAGTAAAAACCACATTGGTTTATGATAGTTTCTCAATTTCTCTTCCAAGTTATGATTGGGTATCTAATAAATAATCTACTTATGAATATGGTACTGAATTCAGCTCTGCGGTCGGTAATAGATAAATACAGTGAAACATCTCTTCCTTCAGTTCCTTCCAATAATGAAAAGACAGGATATGGACGTATCCAGCTACAGAAAACTGCATTTTTGTTTGATACACTTAACATCAAAGATGCTGTTGGTGTGGCTGAATTTGAGAGCCCAATTTCAATGGAGTCTGCTGGCCAGGTACATGACATTTATGCTCTGGTGCTTGCAAAGTTCATCATCCATGGCTGTTCCCAACTGTCAAAATGGTTGACTCTATATTCTGCTAAACTTGAATGTGTTTTCTGTTCAGATGTTTGGATTTTCATTATATGTATCTGAATATACTGCAAACGACAATGGAAACATTCTGTTCATACCAGAGGTACTGCCTTTCCTCTACATATATATGTATTGATTTAGTAGGTACTTATTTGGGCCCTTCTGATTTTTGTGTGGTACTTACTAATATAGACATGTTAGGGTACATAAGCCATGCTGTTCTATTAGTGTATGAGATACTAATTATGGTGCTTCCTTATAAGTAGAATGTACTGTTTTTTAATGCAAGTCTTTTGCTCTGTAATTGGATGAACCTGTGAAATGTTAGATCCAGTTAAATGGTCTAGAGAAGGACAAAAAAAATAAATAAAGTGGAGCATCTATTACTCTTTCTTGAATGTCCTCCTGAACAACATTAGCTGCTAGAGTGATAAAGAGCATGTAAAGAAGATAAGGGGCACATATGGAATTTCACATAAAGCACTTTTTTCATGCAATTAACCAAGCTATATAAGTTAAATGGTCCATTGCATCAGCAATAAATTGGCAACATGAAGTTGAATTATATGTTTGAAGAACAATTTGAACAAAATATGATACAAAGCTCATTACCACACTGTTGTGCCAATTGACATTGGTAAGATTGTAAAAAATATGAGTCACATGGTATAAGGCCGGATTACATTTATGAATCTCTGTTTGTTGTTATGCTTTGTCACTATGACAAATTTTCTTCCCACTTCTTACTCCTCAGTGCCAGATTCTCACTTATAGTCATCATTAATTTGACGTATAAAATTTTGCAGAAGATCTCATTTGTATAGGTGAATTCAAAATCTATACCTTTATCAATTGCAGGTGCATGACAGAGCTCAAGTTTTTATTTCATGCCCTTCTAAAGATGATGCTAAAAGATCAACATACATTGGTATAATTGAAAGATGGTCAAATAGACCTCTTAGTCTTCCTTATACTGACTGCCCTTCCAACGTTAGATTGTTTATTCTGGTATGTGGCTCTTTTCTCTCTTTTTTGCTTTTAATTAAAGTACTTTGGGTTTTGGGTTAATCATTCTGGGTAGTTGATTATTGTTGAAAGCTGAAGTTTGTTTGCCAATTTTGAACAACTGATGAAAAAGCAACTTCTTGCTTGACACTACACACAGGGAGTTGTCCATAATATTCTCTTTGCAGATTTCAAAATGTCTGTTGGTTTCAAAAACCAAACGGAAGCATATAATGCTAAAATTTAAATGTGAACTCGTGTTCGTAAGATTCTAGATGAATTGTAAGTAGAATCATATATTTGTGGGTCTTCTTGCAAGCCAAAGTATCAGACCTTTGTGGCCCCTTTTCCTATGTAGGCTTGGATTGAGAATTCTAAGACGTCTCTAAAGCCTAGCTCTAATTGGACTCTACACCTTATCTCACAAGGGTAAGTGATACCATTTAATTGCAATTAACTGTATATAAATTGCAACAAAGAGTTAATTGATATAATTAATAAAACTTATGTGCCACAATACCACAATGCAACCCTTTCACCATAACCATGTCCATAAGTAGCAATCGAGTAAATACAAATTTATTAACTAACTGAAGCTTTCTTATCTACATTGAGTACTGGTGGAACACAACATATTTACCACTTGCATTCTAATGAACAAATTATGAAAGACCAGGCCTGGGTTCAAAGTGACTAAACAAATTGAAATAGCTAACTCAAAAGGATGTTTACTGTGCTTTAACACAAAGGGTGAATTTCATCTTGGAAAGAATGTTCACACAACTCTAATCTTAAATCACTTAATACACCAAGGTGTTAGCCAAGTAATAAAACCTCACTTATTAGTAAATTAAAGTTATCATCTTCACTAAAAGCTTGAGTTCATAACTTCTCTTAGGATTACAAGTCTAATGCATTGGACACTATAAGATTCACAGTAAGGTAGACAAGGGTTTTACATAGTGTGACTCTTATTGTAGTCCTTCAGTGTATACTAAATAGAATAACATATTGACTCGAAGTTTTTCTCCTTAATTGTTGAGACAAACCATCCTCTCCCACAGGGTTTAATCATGTTGCAGTTGTCCTTATGGAGACCTTTAAGTCTATTAGCAACTGTGAATTTTTAGTTATAGAACTTGTGAATTATATCTCCTGGAAGTGAGACATTTTCATTTACAGAAATGACATTCAATGTAACTAAAAAGGGTTCAACTATTTATCTCATGAATCATATCTAGTATGTATGAAAACATTTCAGATAATAATAAAGAATAATATTTATTCCATAGTATAGATAAATACGTGAATCCAATTGGTTTGAGGGTGTAAAATTTGAACATTCTTGAGGTTGTCATACTTGGTATTTTAAAAGCTAAATATTGTATCTTTATTTTTAATCAATTCCATTTCCTGTTCTTGTAGGTTGAAAACATGGGTCGCGTGAATTATGGGTCATTCATATTTGACAGGAAGGTAAATTCTCTGATCAAAACAAACTTCTATTTTGCACATGTTGGGGTACTTGCATATTATTTCCAATTCTTATGGTGATCTATCGATTTCATTCAACTCTTGGTGAATCAGTGTTGTTCTTCAATGCTAGTTATGAACCTTGAGTGCTCTCACCCACATAAATAATTATGACCATGCTTTTGCCATGCTTAGTGGTTTTGAAAAAGTTTATGACGTTCTACATCCCTTGCTATAATAGTGTAATTCTTTGCATTGGTTGTAATACCTAGATGTAAGTTAAAAGCTATGTTAAATGAATTCTGGTGCGGGTTCCATATCTAGGGGTTGGGCCCATGAAATTTCTAATTTGAAGGATACACAATCTCAGAAAAAAATAAAAAAAATCATATTTTTAACTTATTTTGTGGGATAAAATTGTGTTTTATATACGTATTTGTTTGGACGGACTCGATAAGGGGAGATTGCAATTCAATGGACTGTTAATCCTGGGACTATTTATCCATGGACTATTTGATTAGACATGATGTGTATCACATTTTTGTTTTTTCATGGAATTAAATGCCTATAAATGACTATTCTGGTAAATTTCATGTTTGTTTGAAAAGTTATGAAAAATGATAATTTATCCTTTTGAATCGTTTACCATATAATGGTAATGTCAAACTTGACTTCTAAAATTTATTTTATTTTTTGGGTGACGTTTCAAAATCTACTAAATATTTTTGTTAATATGCAAAGAAAATAAAATAAATAAATAAATAAAAATATTCTTTTTCTTAATCAACAAAAAAGAATATTTTTGTTAATCAGGAAAAAAAATTGTTTTGTGAAAAATAAAATGGGGTAATAGATATTAATGCCATGTTTGGTTTGAATTTTAGAAATTTGTTTCATTTTTTATTTATTTATAAAACTAAAAATTAATTTGATGAAAGAAATAAAAAAATAAAAACACTTTATCATTTTTATATAATTTTATCTTTTGGGAGGTGAGAAATAATTTTTTAAAATTAAAAATATTTTTTGATATTTAGTTTTATCAAATTAGTTTCTATTTTTTCAAAAAAAAAAAAAAAAAATTGATTTGTTTTTTTGTATATTTAGATGTATTTAATTTTCTGTACTTTACTAACTATACTTATGGATTGCTTCTCAAGGAAGAAAAATGAAGTATGTTTAATATTAAAAATGCTAGTCTCATAAACATAATATCATAATGCAAAATGTCAACATACTAATGTAAAAGTAAATTACATGACATGATATCCAAATTTTCTTCAACAAATTTAACCTAAGAGTAGTTAGATATAAATTAATATTGAAATAATCAAGTGAGAAAGTAATCAAAAGCTTGTCAATAAATAAAAATAAAAATAAAAATAAAAAAGTGATGAAAGTTTGGAAGAGAGAGAGAAAGAGAGAAGTAAACTCATTTAATAGCAACTCAAGTCTTCAGAATTTGAAGATTATATATTGGAAATATATAAATCAAAGATTTTTGCATAATTCCTGTGTCTTTTTGCGTGATTTTAACAATTAGAAAAAGAAAAAAATGTGAAAAAATAGCCATATATACAAAATCTATAAAAAAACAGAAGTCTATGCTTAACAATCATAATGGTGATTTAATGGCCACTTAACGGCCATTATGGCCTTTATGTAAGAGTGATAGCCATTATGGTTATGAATTTCTATCATACCGCTATAGTGGCCCTAATAGGTGGCGGTAGCTACCAAAACCGTTACGTAATTATTGCAGCCGCTTTTTAAAACTATGAATATATGTTGGATGTACTTTTCTCTCAAAACCCCTTGGAGGCCAAGTAGTAATGGTGGAGGCTAAGTAGCCTAACACAAACACGCTGACACGTTGATTTTCCAAAAATGCAAGGCACAACATGCTTGAGGCTTGTTAAAAGTTTATATTTTGTAAAATTTTATTATATGTCACATATATGAATAATTAATTCAAAGATAATAAAAAAAAAATATAGTATAATACTAATTACATCAAGAAGCTATATAGTCATAACTTAAACGTCAATATATGATTCATGTAATAATTTTACATTCTAAGGAATGCAAAATAATTATAGAACATTGCAATACACATGATATAGCATCTTATAAATGTTTTGATACGTATTTAGAGTGCGTAAGTTGTGTTTTAAAGAATGCGAAACATTGTTATTATGAAAGGATTTATTACATAGGACGTGTTTGGAGAGTTCAAGAAGTGATGCTAAATGTCTGTGAAGTATCAGTAAAGTGTCAGATTTTATGAATTTCATTTTTTTAAGTAAAACATCTTGAAGAAGTGTCAGACACTTTTTTATGAGTGTCGTTGTCAAACACAGGTGTCGGACACGATACTCTTTGTTCGCAAAAGTGCTCGTGCTTCTTTGAATGAAGGTTTGGAGATAGTAGGGCAAAGTCTCGAAACTTCTCAAGGGGAGGTGACTTGCTTAGTGACACAGGAGGGCCATGATTTATAGGAGTAGCCAGACCATGGAGGCCAGCTTTCTCCATTTGTGTTAAAGGACAGGTGACTGACCCTACATGGTCTAATATTTTGTTAGTGGATCAACAAAGGTGGTTAAAATGGGGATCCTATGTAGGATCGGTGAGAGGGTCTCGTGGATCAGATCAAGAATTGTAAGATTCTATTTTGTGTTAAGGGACAGGTGATTGACCCTACATGGTCTAATATTTTGTTAGTGGATCAACAAAGGTTGTTAAAATCGGGATCCTACGTAGGATTGGTGAGTGGGTCTCGTGCATCGGACCAAGAATTGTAAGATTCTATTTTCTTTAAAAAATAAGGTAAAAATGCAAATAAGGATGATACATATTAAAAATAAGGTGAAAAATCTCAAATCTAGCGATCCTACTTACGATCCTGCACAATTCCATACTACACGATCTTACTTGCAATCCTACTATAACACCAATCCTACTATAACACCAATCCTACAATGATTTGAATAATTTTAACAATTTAGGATCTGGATCGCGATTCTAATAACCATGGGATCAACCCTAACTGATATGGATATAATAGAGTCAACATCTTCTTAGACGCTCATGTCACAGAAGTAGTGGAGGCGTGCTTCTTGGGTACATAGAGGTATGAAACGTGCCATGTGCCTTTGTCTTTGTTGGGAGAATGCCTTCTAGTGTTGATCTCTCTAAAACCATTTAAGGTGCAAGTCCCCTTAAGGGAGGATAAGAAGCATATACCTTGATGAACGGTCAACTCTAGCCACCAAATTACGTACCCTTGAGATACCACACATGGATCACAAGGGAAGGGAGTGCCCATGCGACCCATGACCATACCATCAACCCTGAATGAGACCCTGAGCATTGGTCTTAACGTAGGTGCAAACTTGTTCTGTCCAATTGAAGGGAGGCCTGAGCAGAAGGAAAATGCACTTGGGTGGAGAATTGCTCGACCTGGTTGAGGGTGAATCCAAGTGCATCTGGGTGAGCATATCTGGTGTGCCTTTCAGAAATTGTCCCCCTAAGCTTCTAGGTTTGAGACACCCTATATGGTAGCCTTGGCTGGGGTGGCTCAACCATGGAGGGGAGAGTGCTAGAACACGTGGCAGTGTGTCATTGGGCCATGTGTCACATCAGAGGCTAACACATGTACCTATACTCTTTTTCATATGGTATTGTGTCTGTCAGGTAATTATCTTCTGTAATTTGTTAATTGCTGTTAAGATGCTGCACTTCTAAATTTCCATGTCTCGAAATTTGTATAATACATATTGCTTCATAATCCGGTTTTTTTTTACAGGGTATTTTGTCTTCTGTTTATCTTGATGGAAAAATTCTGAAGAGGTGGAAAATTTTCTCAGTTCCTTTTCAGAATTTAAATGAGAAGCAGAAAGTCAATCCTATTATTGAGATTGCATATTCTGAAATCATTACGTCTACTGCCCACAAAAAACTGAAAGACAGATCAGGTATGTATGAAATTCTACTAAAAATAAGTAGAAGGAGCTAATTTACCAAGAGTTCACTACAACTTACATTGCAATTTTTTTTTACCCCTCAAATTGATGTTCTTGACTCATTTTTGGTTTCTACAGTGAAAAATATTTCTTGCTCTTGTTTACCTGAGTTGGCAAGAATGGCCGAGTCAACAACATAAAGAATAGTGAATAGAAAACATTAAGGTATTCAGCATTTAATCTCTTGCTATGTATGTGTTTATTCATGTGTGCAGACAACACTTCAAAAGAACCAACTTTCTATGCTGGTTATTTTACGGTTGATAAAACAAGCCAACTTAAAGACACGTTCATATCATTCAGGGGCTGGGGTAAAGGGATTGCATTTGTCAATAAATTTAACATTGGAAGATATTGGCCGGTAAACTAGTGCTTGCATTTTAAGTCTTTTTCTTTCTCGTTTTGTCATTGTCTTTATCACTTATCCAAAATAATCTTTAAATTGATATTTTTGCAGTCATTTGGACCACAATGCAACCTTTATGTTCCTGCTCCAATCCTTCAAAATGGAAAAAATGTTGTGGTAGGAGATGCCAAATGCCATATTTCTCGTTATACGTTGAAGAGTTCTTTGTTACATGTGAAATTTTGTCATATATCTACTGTAAATAAACTAAGTTCTTAATTAGACATTTAGTTTGTTTCTCGGGTGCCTCTGTGTCACTCTACATAAAACACAAAGCGAGAGATATTCATTTAGGTTAGAGAGAGAGAGAGATACATATTCGTCTAACTTATGTATTACATGCATATCAACAAGACAGACTAATCACTGTTTCATCTTCATATTAAGTTCGATCACCTTGATTAAACATGGATCAATATAAGGTTTTTGCTTCTTTCTAGGCACGCCGCTCTGAGGATTCAACAGATTCTTCTTTCTGACATCCTTAATTATTGGAAGGTTGTTGCCACCTCTTTTCTTGGACAAGAGGTTAACTTTGGTTGATATTCCATGTGGGAATTGTAGTTTTTATAAGGAATTAGGGATCACAAAACAATTGTTATATTTTTTTTGATCAGTTGACCATCTAAGATTCTAAGGTTGATTAGGCATTTAGATACGAGCTTAGTGAATGGAAAATTCTAGAACGTAACCCTATTGCAGAAAAGGAATTGTGCTGATGCTGTTAGTTGGAATGAGAATAGGACCTGTTCTCCTTAGCAGCTTGGTTATTTTGCCGAGATGATTTTAGATTTGGCCATATTGTTTTACAATTGACATATTCTAGTGTGTTCTTGGGCATGTGAATGATATCCGTTTTCATTTATTTATTTTGCTTATGGGTGCTTTTTTTGGCTTCTTTTACTTTTGTCTTGTATCCGCTAAGGTTACACTCTAGCTTGGATTTACATGTAACATGAACCCTACTCTGTTGTAAATTTAACGTTCTTTAATTTGTATTTTCAAACATAGAATGAATAAAATAGGGTTGTTGGCACATTTTTAAACCTAAAAGCTGGCGGTTAACTGAGATGCTGGAAGTGGGTATAAGGGATGCTAACATCACAGCATATGAGTGTATCTGAGAAAGAGATGGACAACATGTGAATTGTGTTAACATGGTAGACTCCAGTATAGAAAAGTAGAAAAATGAAAACATGTGGAATTCTTTCTATATTTTCCAATGCATAATATCTTCAATTCACAGTTACACAAAATACGATAATTAGATGGTAAAAGCAAAAAAGAAAAATATTTGGTCAATGCCAAAACTTCTCTCATTTAAATACTATAATACACACGTTAAATAACTCCTTGACTGCAAAATTAAAGCTACCATTTTCCTATTATCTCCACTCAATACATATTTCAGTTTGTTCTTAATTAGATTTCCTAGATTACTAGAGATGATTTTCCTATTTACTAGATGTGCTTTAGTTCCATTTTGTTTTTGGTTTCTCAGGTCGTACTCGAGTTAGAGTCTCCGCATCCTGAGCTTGTGGTTAGCTCTGTAGATCAGCCTGACTTCACATGTGGTCCAAGCGGTTCAAGGGTGCATCAGCTTTGAAGTCATTTGTTATACATTGAATCTTCTTGCGATCCATGAAAACATGATACAGGTAGGATGGTCCAGTTGACTAGAGCTTGACGTTCTGCATCATCACATTAGCTCAACCTTCTGGCTTTTATATTCTTCACCAGCATCACAACAAACATTGAAAGAAAAAAAAAAAAAATCTGGGATGTGGAAAGAGAGAGGGAGAGAGCTTGCCATTGTTTCTTTCAACAATAAAAATCAACAATGATTTCCCACACTCCTCACGCTGCAGGAAATCTGATAATGTAGTTGTGCCATTTCTTTTGTAAATATAAGTTCCTTTTACGAGTAGTTTGTTTTAAAGTGACAAATCATTTTGCATGAAAATTCTTTACGAATTTTCTGACTATATATTATTACTCTATTTATTATTATTATTTATTTATTTAAAATTTATTATTATTTCCAATTGTTTATACATCCTATAACTACTACAATTACAATTGAATGTACCCTAAGTATACCCAACAAGCTCGCTGGGATCAACCTCCAAAACATGCTTTATTATTAACTCATGGCTTCTGCAAAAAAAGTCACTTTGAAGATTGCTTAGCATCTTGTTTTGGTCCTGACATAGCTACAGTTGCTGCAGCTGACATGGCAGCTGCTGCCGCACTGAACTTCACACCACCTGCAGCCTTTGCTGCGCCAGCTATTTTTGCAAATGCAGCTACACCTCCTACAAGTATAGCCCTCAGAGCAACTGTTGGTTTTATTGTCATATCGTATGGTATACCTGAAATCACAAGTGCTACATTAGAATGTCAAATATATATTTAGGAAGCTAACATTAAATGTAAGCAACTTCTCTTGAGCCAGTATCATTCATGCAAACAATGCTTAGAATTACTGTAAGTAAAAAGGGCAACCTAGTTCACCAAGCAGGCAATGAGGTTCGGGGAAGGCGTAAGCATTCCTACCCGTGTGCGGAAAGGTTGTTTAGATTATGATGTTTCTTAGACTCTGTTTGAATCATGAATTTATATGAGGATTTGGAAAGAGAAAGAAAACGATAAGGGAAATGAAGAAACATTTAACCTATATTTCATTTATATAGAATTCATTTTTTCGTTTTTCTTTTTAAAATTTCTATCCAAATCTATGATATGAACACAACATTAAAGTTGCACCAAGGAACATGAATTATTATTATTTTTATTTATTTATTTTTTCACTTTGTCATTGTAGAATGGCTCTCCATTAGAGAATGGTCCTACAATACCAAGCCCTCAACAGAGGAAGAACTTTCCATAGCTGAAGTCACCTATCTCCTACTACTATTCTAGTTATCAAGTGAATTACATCAGAACATCTTTTTCACACCATGTCATATTCCATTTTATGTTGATATTAGAGCACCAAAACCTGGCCTCAAAGCTTTGCCATTGTTCTGTTATCCATCTCGTTCCCACAGTTTTTAGAAATCTTCATGTCCACCAACCTTAGACTCAACCATTTGCTCAACACCGAATATGAAACGTCATTATTGGATGCACGATGTTTTTAATAATGAGGCATCACAGTTAAATTGGCTAATGCTGTGTTTGGTTGGGGGATTTGAGGAGGGATTTGGAAAGGGAAATGGAAAAGGTAAGTGAAATGAGAATAAAATATGCCTAAATTTCACATAGTTTCACAGACCTTTTCCCTTTCCCTTTCTAAATCTTTCCCCAAATCCTCTAACCAAACACAACATAAGTCTACCCATTGAAGAAATCCAGGGTGCAAGTTATCTGCCAAACAATCCACCTAAAAATTAAGTGGAACACTATTGGAGTCCAACTTTAGCTGCTCTAGAAAAATTCTCCACAAGAAGTATAGCAATCTACCTGGCATGAATGTATAAACATGAAACAGTAAATTTCACTGTTCTTTATGATTACTGATCCTAAATTTTTGACTCTTTCTTTTCATCTTGATGCCAAGAAGTGTTAGATCTAAAACTAGTCTAGATTAATATATATATATTAGGTCTGGAAATAGTAATTTCATTTTAATGGACCAGTTGAATGAGAAAACAAAGGAACAACTTTAACGTTGTAAGAAAAAAGGGTAGGGAAAAAAAAAAAAAATCTAATTTGCAGTTGACACATAATACAAACTGCACAACCCTACATTGTAAACGTTCCTTAGCTTGCCTCAGCGAAATAAACCATGCCTAAACTATCCAAAGACATCGAAGATGTAACACTTCGTACTCCTTGGACTAGTGGAATTACTTTTGACTCTCTTATTATTGTAATTAGAACCTCCTTGATTGAAATTAGAGTATTGATTGGTGTGATATCGTGATGGTAAAGTAGGATTGAACATTTTCATTGATTCGAAACATTTTTCTTAAAAGGTTAAAGAAGAATCTTTTGTGAAAATGTACTTGTGTATGTATATTTTAGATACAAAAAGGCACATTACTTACATATTTATTACTTGAGCATTTACGATCATATATATCTATGTAATGTTATTGTTTAGAAACATTGGAATTCTTACTGGATATATTTGTTCATCCCCGTTGTCAAACTTTCAAGTGTGAAGTTGGAAGTATTGTCCAAGAATCAAAAAGTTTACTTTATTGTTGGTCATGGGATATGGTGATTGTACGTGAAATGCCAACATTTGTATAGAGGGTGAAACCCTTTTTGTTTATTTATATATTATTTTTTTTGAATTGTTGTAAATTCTTCAATGTAAGCCTAAGG